AATCTGCTACAAATACAAACAAACAACTAGTTAGTTATACCCTAGCAACCACCAATTTCAATAATTAGCGCTTTCATAACCACTAAATGAATTCTCTTTATAATTTGATTCCTTTTAAATACCTTATTTTTTAAATTTCCATGAAAATGGGATAAAATTTTGTATACATCATGTGAGTTAAATAAATGCTTATTCATTCGAAGAAAATTAACCCACTCGCTAGGGCTCGTGGGTTAAACTTTCTTCTCATGAATAAACATTCATTTAACTCACTTGGTGTATAAATAACTATTATCTCCAATAGTTTTGGAGAAAAAAAATAAATTCCGTTTTTTCCATAAGAAACAATAAGTTAGAAAGAGATAGTTGAATTATGAATCGGCTACAAATTTCTTAATTCTTAATTTAATTTTTCAGTTCAGCTATTTTTTTTTTTAATTTGAACTATGAATCGGGAGTGATAAATAGGCAACACATAATTTATTTATTGACTTATCTCTCTCTAGCTCATTGTTTCTTAAGGAAAAACGGAATTAATTTTTTTTTCTCTAAAACTATAGAAGGTAAAGGTATAAAACCTTATATCATTGAAATCAGCTCACAAAAAGCTATTCAATGAGAAAATAATATACGGGGTGTCCCATTTAAAAAAACACAACTTCTGTCAATATTCCAAAATCGGTAGCATCTGGAAAAAAATTGGTCATGCCACTGGATTCTCCTTGAAAAACTGCCTGTAGAAAGTATTTTTCGTTTTTAGAAATCTTGAATAATAAGGAAATTAGAGAGTCTTTTAAAATTGGACAAAATTTGAAAAGTGCCCTGTATTTCCTAAACGCATCAAGTTAGCCGTGATTTGTCTTCGCCATTGTTATTTTCTCTAAAAAACATCTCGAGAATGTGCTCCCAGATTTTTGATATCTCTGCTGGTTTTTGATATAGCCTATTAAAACATCGAAAATGGGCCACCCTGTACATTCCTGTAAAATATCTAATAATGGCAAACGCGCTTTCCAGAAACTTTCTTGATAACGCTCCACCTGATGACGACGAATTGGTCCTGGAGACTTATATTTTTGTTAATTTAGTAGCACATTCCTTTGAGGTAAAATCCTACCTTTTGGAGCAAATAAAACAGGAGCAATTAAAAGACCACCTTTGTATAAAATTACGTGATTACACTTTTAAGTATCGTTATGATTTTTCGGATTGTGATTTGTTGCCAACGATTGCTAATCTCATCCTATTTACAATCAAGAATATTAAATTGTATACATGATGGACCTCAGGGCATTGTGAATTGTAGAGCGCGGGCAAAAACTTCAGTTTGATGGTTAGAGTTATCAGCCGAAATCGGAAATTTAGTCAGAAATTGCCCACAGTGCTTGGAGCTACGTGTGAATAAGAAGGAACTTTTTCTGAAGGACGATTTTCCAAAAAGGGCTTGGCAAAAAGTTGCCAGCGACTTATGCAAACTGGACGGGTTTTGGTACCTTATAGTTACAGATTGCTTTTCTGGATTTCATGAAATTTTGAGTGATGTATTTCGGCGTGCTCAGTCATCACCAAGCTGAAAGAATTATTTTGTAGATATGGCATTCCGGATATAGTTCGATCTGACAATAGCGGGCAATTTCGTTTCGAATTTGAACAATTTAGCAAAGAGTACGATTTTCTCTTTATTACAACTAGTCCCATGTTTTCTCCGTCCGATGTTCAAATTTGATTCAGCAGACAAAGTTGCTAAAAATTTGTTGAAAAAAAGTTGCGGCGAGGATGTTTATTTAGCATTATTTTCTTACCGAGCCACTCCTTTGGAAAATGACTTTTCACCAGCTGAGTTGTAATTAACCATATAAAATTCGTTCTCTTCTCCATATTATATTGCCTCAAGTTTTGAAATATACTGTTGATACTAGCTCAGTTCGCAAAGGAGAGGAAAGGAATAAAGAGAAAATGTCGAATAACTATAACAAAAGGCATACTGTCAAAGAGTTGCCAGAGTTACTAGTAGGTGATAATGTCTGGGTGACAGACCTGATTGTGAAAAAGTTGAATCAACCAAGATCCCATTTGGTTGAAACGAATAGGGTTTTTTTGAGAAGAGATCGCTGGCATTTGATTTTATCAAAAAATCATACGTCGGTTTAAAATCACTCCGAGTTTTCTTCAGCAAATCAGGTCACTCCGACGTTGTCCAGTACCAAAAAATTTTCTAATTCAGGAGATAATAATCCCGGGTTAAATCGTGACAGTGTTTGCGGAAATAGCAGCAATAGTTCAAGTGATAGTGCTCCAGAAAAATATGAGAGATTGTATCCATGACCTAGTCGAAATTGTAAAAACCCTGCTTGGTTAAATAAATTGTGAAAACCCTGCTTGGTTAAATGACTATGTCACTCAGTTCTTTCTATAAAAAAAGGAATATTCTGTTAGGAACTTTGTTGCAACGTGTCACGTTTCTTCATAGACTTAGTTCAGATGTTTGATGGGCACTGGTCATGTTGCCAGTGGAGTGGTGGCCTTAGGGACTTGTAACCAATGACTTTGTATCAAACAAGGGTTGTCATTATTATTAATCTTGATTGAATACAGTTTAGTTAAAGTTCCATAACTAGCAGTAGGTACATTTTATTAACAAGATAACATAACATAATTACTAATATAACAACCTTATCTCGAAAACGATGCGTTTCGGACATATTTATAAAGCAATAGTATATTGTGCAACAAGTGTTGAAAATAGCACTTTTCACACGCGTGGGGAAGTTTGGTGGCACGAGCCGCAGGCGAGTGGCACAAACCCCACGAACGTGCGTTTCACACGCGTTACACACTATACTTTTTCTACGACTGCGAAATAACTATAACTATATTCACATTGGAATCTATTTATTTATTTTTTTGTTGAAAAATTATTATTTGAAATTATAATCAACGAACAATTTTGGTACGTACGGTGAATGCACTCAGAGTTGCTTGTATAACAAAAATTCAATGGAAGTGTCATTTTTATTTTAGCGTGCGAAAAGTACTTTTCGCACGCTCGGGAGCGTGTGAAAAGTACTTTTCGCGCGGTCGGAGCGTGTGAAAAGTACTTTTCGCACGCTGTGCGAAATAATCGATTTTCTAGGTAAGTTAGTAGTGCGTTTTTAATAGCTTTCTAGGCAGTCATAGGAAAAATATGTTTCTTTTGATGCGCCATGCTACCTACCCCTTAAAGTTTGTCGGTATATTTATGGAACACTCTGTATAAGCCTTCCTTATGCCTTTTCGTTAGGTACAATAGCAAAGATGACAGTTTCGTGACCCAATGATGCTTGACCATGGAACTTATTCAAGAATTTCTAGAGCGACAATGCGGAAGGAATATTCTAAATGAACTTTTTCTCTATGAGTTTTGAGTGATATTATGATTTTTTTTTAAAAGGAAAAAAATTGACTCAACATCTGAGAAACAACTAATAAAAATCGGAAGTAAAGTTCCATCAAACTGCCTATTCGATCAATCAAAGGACCCTTTATCAAATCCATCTGACTCATTCTCATCATTAGATTTTTCTGATAGTGTATCACACTCCTAAATTACAATTTAAAAAACGGAAATGAACAATGAACCTCTAATTCATGAAGCGAAGACTGAGAAATTTTTCGTTAAGGACTCTTTCAAAGATCCAGGAGATTTTCTGATGAATCCCAATCAAAAACAAAAAATGATACAAATGGATAAAATGTTAATCTGAAAATTGACAAGTTTTTATCAACGGAGCGAAGCATCAAAATGATGGGTTTCATTCGTCGCATATTCGTTAGTAAAGAAAGAAATATATCAATCTGACTGAAAGCGGACAATTTTTTAAATGTATTTTCTAACGAAATCAACACAAAATAGCTAAGACACTGATTTTGAATATTTTTTGATAAAAATTAATAATTCGCACCAATATTAAACAAATTACAGCTTGTTTAAGAATGGAAAAATCTCAAGTATATAACTCGACTTGGCAGTAGATTTGGTACAGAATAAATGGAATTGAAATTATAGAGAAATCAATAAAATATCACCATATAGGTACCTACATTTAAAGACAATTTTGTCCAAAATATAGTCTCATAGTTATCCGAGGCATCGCAATATTGACGTATACGATTTTATTGAATGCGCCTATTGTCAGAAACATCAACTACAAATACATTTACATTTAGTAAGCTTCAGCGCATGGAAGCAAGCTCCTGAATTCTGGAAACAAGGACTCTAAGGTTTTTGAGGCATGAGAATTGAAATTGATTTAATATACATATACGAGAAGCTGTGAGTATTTTACCAATTGGAACAATTTGGCTCGAAGAGTTGGAACAGTTTGTTTTGAGTCATTGGAACAAGAAACACAAGCACAGTGCATTTAAAATACTTTTTTACAGGACATCCATATATAAAGAAACGGGTTTCTGAAGACTGACGCATTATTGATATTACCAGCCGTTATTCTTGCAAAAAAATGGTCCTGAACTTGGTGCGATCTATTTACAAAATTTATTTAAATTTTTACAGTAAAATGTAAAATATATACTTGATACTGTAGATATATACTTGTAACCTAATGTTTAGTATATTGGTGGGCGTCCTATGTACGGACTTTTGTTATCAGCATCACAATAAGTTTCTAAAGACATTTATTCTTTGATAGGATTGTATTTTTTAATGATCAGCAATTCCCTCACAAAATTATTGAGAAATAAGGCCCACCGAGTTGCTTAATTATTATAATTAATACAAATACTTAATAAGCTTAAAAACATCCCCATCAGTTAATAAATTCCTTTTAATTCTCCTTAAAACAAAATATTTAGCCCAATTACGTTAAATTATTATGGATTTCCTTTCTCTGGCACTTCCTATTGAATCTAGATCCTCAGAAAATATTCCCATGCCTGCAATCCTGGAAACGGGTGACTGCGCACAAGACCGCCCCTAGATGCTAAAAATATTACTTGTGCCTCGGCCCTTAGAATAAGCGCAATGTGAAATTTCACCCACAACTATTCGCTTTATTATAAACGCACACTGACCCGCTTTCAACACAAAATGTTTAGTTTTAATCAGTTTTTGCCATACAATCAACAAAATTTACATGGAAAATGACTTTCGTTTACAACTGTAGTGATCAAAATAAAATTATTCAATTGTGATTTTTGTATAGGTAGGTAAGCATTTGGCCTAATTTTTCAGGAAATTAATTTTTTTGTGTTTAGTTTTAGATATGGGTAACGAACAATTTGCACTGACTATAATTTGCATCGTTCTAGTGGCCGTGCTATTAATTTTATTTTTTTACAATTCCCTCAATATTATCAGTTGGATGAATGCGTGGATAACGTCCAATAAAGAAGAAAAAGTTGGACTCACGAAACTTAAAGGACATTACAATGCCAACGGATATTTGGTAAGTGCTAAAGTGTATAGTCCCCAGTACATCGACCCTAAAATTTTGTAACTCATGTACACGCCAAACTTTCTGAGCGGCTTCATAACACCAAGTCGGACAATATTTTTCATATCTCCACCCTGGGCGATGGGACATTGCCGCGCTAGCTCTTCGTGAAGTTGTCGTTCTGACGTCCCTAAGGAAGTTGATACATGTACGTGTAGTTTCAATGCCAATCGACTTTTTTTTATATTACACTAGCTGACCCGGCGAACTTCGTACCGCCTCTGAATTATTAAATATACCTATTAAATGTTTGTTAACGTATCTATTAGCTGAATTAAATTCAGTTTTTTTCGATGGTGAATTTGGCTTTGGTTGAAGAAAATTAATGTTTACTCTCTGGATCAGAAGGCACCTAAAATTAAAATTTTACATCATCCTTTTTTAGGCAGCTTGTGGGCATTATTCTTGTAAAGTGTACCACCAAATAAATAAACTGATGCACAGGAATGTTCAAAGAATGTAAAGAAAACAAAAAAAATCTCTAGCGCAGCCCTATTTCACTCTATCTGCACTGCATGCACTGCACTACTCCATCTGTTCTACTTTATCTGCACTACTCTATCTGACCTACTCTTTCTGCACCACTCTATCTGATCGGAATAGTGGAATAGTTCTGTGCAGCATTGTTCTACTGTATCTGCAATGCCGAGCTTCGTTCCAGGTATCAGAGATGGCACGGTATACAAAATACAAAATAAACTTGGTATCGGTTATAAGACATGGCACCGTATGCGGGCTTAGTAAATTTTTTCCATAAATAAATAAAATAAGTAATGAAATGACCACATTAATGACATAACAACATGCTGGTACTGTCAACGCTGAAAAAAGTTTGAATTTGACAGCAAAATGATGCTCCATTTATTGAATAATTAATTTATTACAAAAAATGTGATAAATGAAGAACCGCTCGACCGATTTTGTGCAAACTTTACATAAACCATCTAATAAATAGTCCGAACAAAGCCTAAACATTTGGTTTGGCTAGGTGAGTCCGTTCTTGAGTTATAAAATTACAACGAAAAGTGGCATTCATTTTTATATATATAGATTAACGATATCACATTTGTCGGACAAAAACCATGTGGCTTTGGGGAAGGTCCGACGCCCTCAACATGTCGCTGTGACGTCCCTAAGGAAGTTGATACATGTACGTGTGGTTTTGATGCCAATCGACTGTTCTCTATGTTACATTATTGATATCACATAGGTCGGACAAAAAACACGTGGCTTTGGGGGAGTCCGACGCCCCCAACATGTCGCTGTAGCGTCCCGAAGGAAGTTCATACATGTATGTCCGACAAAAATAATTATGAATAACAATGTAATTTTAAAACATGTGTAGTAAATGTCGGACAAATAAAATGAGTATTAAAATCAGTCGGACAACAAAAGTCCTTTTGATCAATTTCTGCCGAAATTCAGGATCTTCACTCCTGAGATTGCACAAAAAACACGACTGAATATCCATTCTTTCTCACACGCGTGGTTTTGAATGACCGTTCACTAAATAATTTCCGCAAATACTCGGAGAACTATCAAAAAAACAGATCAGGGAATATGACACAGGGCCCCACAGGTATTTGACAAAGTAGGTAAATAATAAACTGACTAATATGCACGTTGCGTTAAGGCAAACGAATTTCAATTTTTTCATTGATTGTCTCAAATTTCTTGTCCGACAAATGTGATAGCGTTAATGTAATGTAAAAAACTGTCGATTGGTATTAAAAACACACGTACCACGTACATGTATCAACTTCCTCAGGGACGCCACAGCGACTTGTTGAGAGCGTCGGACCCCACCGAAGCCACGTGATTTTTGTCCGACATATATGATATCGTTAATGTAATACAAAAAACAGTCGATTGGCATTAAAACTACACGTACATGTATCAACTTCCTTAGGGACGCCACAGCGACATGTTGGGGGTGTCGGACCTTCCCCAAAGCCACATGGGTTTTGTCCGACAAATGTGATATCGTTAATGTAATGTAAAAAACAGTCGATTGGCATTGAAACTACACGTACATGTATCAACTTCCTTAGGGACGTCAGAACGACAACTTCACGAAGAGCTAGCGCAGCAATGTCCCATCGCCCAGGGTGGAGACATGAAAAATATTGTCCGACTTGGTGCTATGAATAAGCCGCTCAGGAAGTTGGGCGTGTACATGAGTTACAAAATTTTAAGGTCGATGTACTGGGGACTAGTAGCATAAATTTAGCCACGAAATGTATTACACGTTCCTATTTTAGGTTCATTCAGATTCAGACATTGCACTGGACTGGAGTAGTGGTAGCTTTAAACGATTCGATTCAGTCGACATAGATTTTAAAACTTCAATAGCTACCACTAGCCTGACAAATTGGCAATCAGAAACGGAGATAGAAGAACCTGATCCTATACCTCCACAACCTTTAAGACCAGCTCCGGTACCCACAACAACAATTTCCAATAGAATAGATATTGATGCTGCTGCGGCAGAAGAGCCTAAATTAAAGGAGTTTGTTGTTGCCAGAGAACCAAAATTTATTATTGAGTATAGCTTCTTTTTAGTTCTTAGCTTCACAATACATAATACGTATCTGTTTTTAGAGACAGTATTTCCACAACAATATCACCAATACCAAGACCAGTGAGCTCTGTGAATATGGCAACATTAGCTTCCCAGTCTTCATTTCCAATCAGCTTAGAACCTCCACCGGCAGCACAATCCAGAAGCGTGTCCAGAACTCAAAGTGCTCCGCTGAAATTGTCGGTGCTGAACCAACAACTACAGCAGAGTAGTGAGCCAGCCAAGGATAGTTTTGATAAGACTGAAATTAACTCCTCAAAAGCCTCGGATGAGACTGAAGTTGTCGCACCTGGTGCCTTGAAGAGGGCGATTTCCTGTGAAAGTGTTTGTTCTGAGACTTCGGTAGCCTTGGGCGATTTGGAGGAGTATAATGTAACAGGGTATTTGTGTATTGGACTAGAATACGACAGGTACGTACTTTTGTTAATAAATGTTTAATTAGATGTAGTAGTCAAGAGACCTTTGCCTTTTGTTAACTTGAAGTGTGACCAACTTGTTTTTGTTTTCTTCTGTACCTACCCAATATTTTTTAATAATAATAAGAATAATAATGGACGAATTTATTAAGCAAAATATGGGTCCAAATCATCCTACAGTTGTGATATAGTTCTATTTACTTCTAGTAGCTCTCCTCCTTCAAATAGTTCCAATAGCTACTAGGATAGCTGCTACTTCTCGAGCATGCCCACTGGGTTTTCAGTTAGGTATTTTAAAAAGCCTAATCTGACTCTGGTAATTCTCTAATTTTTCTAATTAGCATTACAAGGCAAGATAATGAGTTGATTGCTTTTCGTGTAGCTTCTTCTTATACTTTCGATAATAATCCTCTGTCATAGCATTCAGTCTTCTTTAGTTGGCTTCTCATAAATACGAAGAATATTAAGCTTTTTTTTTTCAATAGCCTGTTGTAAAGCTATTTGGTAGGCTAGTTATTCAAGCTCTTCTTGAATGGGCATCTAAGGAGTGCATACTGCAATAGAGTCTCCTTCAGTCAGATTCTTATGAAGTTTCTTATTATATCGGTGCCTCGATTGGCTCCCCATGAGTAGACGATGAAATAGATGATTTGTCAACATCTTCTGAAGTTTCTCTCTGGTTTTCGAACCTCTTCACCGTAAGCATTTCAGGAGTAAATAATAAGTTACATGAATTTTGGACAGCTGCTTATACATCATCGTTTCTATCTATAGGTAGGTAGTTTATGAAGCCTTTCTGGTTTTATTAGCTCCTCAGGAGTTGCTTCTTCGACAGCTTCTAGGAGTGGTTCTGGAAACTCTTTGCTTCATAAGAAGTAAACTCGCTAATGAGTTTTTAGTTTCTCTTTTGCAGCCTATTCCAGTAATTATTTCTGTAGTTTTTTCCTTTTATTAGCTTCCCAGGAATATTTTCTATGAAAGGGGCTTTTCTTCAATTAGCATATCTCAGCAATAACTGATTTGTTTTCCGTTTTTTCAACATTGAACTTTCTAAAAATCATCCTTGAATTTTTTTAAATAGACCATCGGTGATACAAAGGGTGGGCCTATTAGACACAACCTCTGGCGCGGCGGGCGGGATGCAGGGCAATACCAGCGAGGTACTATGGTGTATCGAAATTGGTAGCACCGGGGGAGACGCCTCTGCTCTCGTCTCTTCTCTCAACTGGCTAGTTGAGGGTCTTGATTCTGCGTGGGCGACAGGGCGAGGTTCCGCGTACACCCTCTCGCTCGCATAGCCCGGGAATCGTGGGTAGCAATACTCATGATTCTGGACGCAGTTGGCGATCATTTCCACCCATGGACCAACGCCCGGGTTCCATAATTATGGGGAGACAAGTTCTCTGGATTCCCCATATTTATTTGTATCTGCCGCACTAGTTCCTTCGCCATATTCAGTAAACTGGCTCGATCCTCTAGCTCAGGAATCAGAGCTAGATACCTAAAGAGTATTGGCATTCCTTGCTCCATTCTTGCTCACTGACACTCCGCTCTTTTTTTTTCTCTTAGAACACGCACTTCTTTCGAAAATTTCTCTCGAACTGTTGCTCCATCAGGGGAAACAGCCTTTTTCATCATTCTTGGCGTTATCTGTAGTTGTAAATTTCTTTCCATTACTTATAACCGTTGGCCCTATGTTAGCGACAATAGCGACTTCCGATAAGTCATGCTCTTCCTTCATTCTGTATCTATACAAGTGAATTTATTAGCAGTGCTTCTAGCTGATAGTCATAATTTTTGTTCTTTATGTCCTGTTGTCTATTAGTTGGCTAGAGCAATATTTTTAGGGTAATTTATCCTTATTGATCTATAAATATCGTCACAACCCCTATACGTTTCGTCCTGGGACGTCACAACAGGAGCGTGACCTGGGGAGCGTAGGTGGGGTTCAGCTAGAGAGAAACTCGCTTGGTATTGGTACAATAAGATATGTATTGAATATATAGAATAATATTACCCTAGAAATAGTATCATGACGTCATTTCTACAGAGGAACGTACTACTTGGGCTACTCTGTATTATGTGTGGGTTTGAGACAGGTCCAGAAGGGCGTTTCCCAATAAAGGTAGTTTGCACTGGACCTAGTCTGCTGCGTTGAAAACTCCCAGAAGGTCGTTTCCCATTAAAGATTTTTTGCGCTGAGAGGAGACGATTTAGGCACGGTATTTATACCAAATTAATGCTGACTCGTCGACACACTTTAGTAAAATTGATGTGGTATTCACTTAAGTAGTTGACAATATATCGTCGAACTGATACTCTAGTGCTAGTCAGTATATTCTCTCCTTCTTATCGATTTTATATCCTATAATTTATATCCTCTAATTCTAATTTAAATCCTCTTCAAATATCCGTACATTGGGTACTCTAGACTACTTATCTTATTCAATAACCCTTCTGATAATCTCCAAGACTTGTCAGATTATTTGTGTTTCATCTTTTCTGGCCATACAAACACCAATGAACTGGGGGTAACTTTGCCAATTCTTCTCTCAAATAAGCAAATGCACGTGGAGATGTGCATGGGTTAAGTTCAAGTGATTGTGTTTTATCCTGTAATTCGCTTTGATCAGGAATTGTCAAGCTTTCCGGTTTGGTCTTCTTTTCCCTTCTCGTGTGATTTTATTATTTCTTCGTGGGCCTGATTTTGCTTTTGGTGCAATACAAATAGCGTAAGGTTGCCCCAAAAGGATGCTAATAAATTGAAAGAGCATCCATTTAACCTATGTATTGCTATGGCATTCATAATTGTTTCTATGCAAATTTTACAGCTCAAATTATGAAGTAAATCCCTATCATTCCGCTTGCCCATCGCACCGAAGACGGGATCGTAGCTAGGATAGATACGATCTGGATGCTGATGCTGCTCATGGGTGATCCCGCTAGTTTGCTAGTCACACTTACACCCTTTTGACTTTTAACTTTACACAAAACTACCCTCGTGGCTACCATGGTCTTCGTGATTGCTTCTACTGGCTCGTCTGAGTTTCATGAGTAGGACAGCATTGTCCAAACCTTCCATTTCGACATGGATACGTGGTAGTGGAACGAGTTCGTCATTCTCTTCAATTCCCGATAATCTATGACAAGCCTATACTGAATATCCTCCCCAGGGTGTCTCTTTTTTTCTATAAGGATTGCAGGAAAGCTCCATGGTGACTCACTTTCCACGATCACTCCGACATCAAGAAATTTCTTGCTTCATAACCTCCTGTCGATAATACGGTACTCTATAAGGTCTTTTCGAGGGTCTTTTAATGGCTGCACATTCTCCGTAATAATTCTATGTACGACCTCTGTTGTACAGCTCAGTTTGTCTTCTGGTTTTTTAAACACGTCAATGAACTCAAGAACAAGCTGCTTAATTCTTTGCTCTTTTCTAGTGTCCGAATTCTCTAACTTTGATTTTTCCAATATCTCCTTCACTCCTTTTTGGTCAATATTTCTAATTTGAATAGTTTCCTTTTCCTTAGTGGCATTCTCAATTTCCGCTACGTATGCTCTTGCAATTACAGATCTACTCTTTAGAGTTAATTCTTTCTCTGTTATATTCAATAACCTCCCTGGGACTACACTGTCCTTCTTACACAAAACACGTGCTACTAGCAATCCTGACAAAGCTTCTTTACATTGTTCGATAACTATGTTGAGCCTTAACCCTTGAAGCTCTGCGTAAAGTTGCTTGACACACTACTTGACGACTCATCGGCGATAATAACACCTCCTCTCTCAGAGTCGCCAGAAAACCATCTTGGCTTCTGAATTGCATGTCCTTTAATGGACCTTCATTAGAATTTCTTTCCAATGGACCCTCAAAATTCCTCCGTAATTTCCCTGGAAGTTCACTGTCCTTCCCCTCCAAAACTGATGGTACTCGCAAGCCTGGAAAAGCTTCTTCACATTGATTAATGTGTTGAGCCTTAGCCCTTGAAGTTCCGCGTAGGGTTCCATGGCACACTTCATCAATCATCTCCTCCTCTCCTTTGCGTTTTCCTCTAATGGAAAAAGTTCCTTACTTAACAAAATCTCGTCCTTCACTGAACCTTCATTAGAGTTTTTCTCTGATGGAAAACCTTCACTTAACAAAATCTCGTCCTTCACTGGACCTCTAATAACTTCATTCTCTCGAAGTGAAATGTATCTATGGATTGCACTGGAACTGGCCGGGTTCCTATTTGATGATGTGAGACTTTTGTCTTTTGATTTGCCAAGTTGTTAGTTGGTTAAAGTTGTCGAGCGAAAACCAGTCGCTACGAAACTACGATACTCTGTTACTGGTTCTAACGTAAGATCCTTTTTCATAAAATCTGTCATGCTCATCAATGTTTCATCTCTTTCAGTTTCTGCTTCAATTTCTCTCAGATCAATTTTCACTTTAACACCATTTGCATTTCTCTCCGATTTTTTCACAACATTTTTCAGCTCGTCAAGCTCCATTTATAAGTTCCTAACTTTGGTCATCAACATCAACTCTTTTTCTACTTTCTGTATCGCATAATCAGCATCAATATTTTCATCATACATTTGGATTTCCTTCTCAAAAGCGTACATACAATAATTATTCTGCCAGTCTACTTTAATACCATATTGGCGCAGAAAATCTGTTCTCAATAGTAAATCTGCCTTTAGGGAAAATTGTGTCTCACAATGATGTCTCCATCGAACATCACTGGTATTTTTGCCATACCTTTAACAAGAGTTTTATTGTCCTGTACATCCACCAAATTTACATCACATTCTTCTTTTTCGGGCTTAACTAGGGATACTGCTCCAAAATCTATTAAAACTAGGTACGACTTATCATCAACCCTAATCCTTACTACATTCCAACTTTCTGGGGTTCTCTCCTTGGATATATCCCTACCCACCTCTCTTCATTTAATTCCAACTTGCCTCGTTGGCAGCATTAGCAAAATGCCCTTCTTTGTTGCATC